CTAGTTAATTAAAAGATGGTTAATCTTATCAGTTTGCATATTTACGTAACTTCACAATTTTTAGAACCTAAAAGATTATTCACGAAAAGAGCGCATTTACTTCTGTAACAAGTGACTCTACTAAGTGCTTTCTGAGTCTATAACCTGCAAAGTTCTTAAGTTCTTATTGTTCCGTAACATCTCTTGCACGTTGCTTGTACGTGTTCATCCCAGTTAAGATACTGGTGAAAATGGTCACCAAGAAGCTTACTTACATTTAGATATTCTAATAAACTATCTGAGATTGTAATAGCTGGTCGATTCTTATCTAAACTATGTACACGAGACATCTGGCTTGTGGACAGCAAGCTCGTCATTGTTCTTCTTCGAGTGCTAGGTGGGAGTCATTAGACCAGGGGCTCACAATCGGCCGTTGACTGATTATTGAATCGCGATCGGCCTTTGAATGATTATTTACTGTTTTAAGTTGTCAAGTAGTAGAATGAGTTGCTTTTTTTGCTAATCCGGTGTTCAAAAATCCAGGTATAAAGTACACATAAATCACAAAGGAGCAACTCTGAATTCGTTAAAGATCAGTAAAATGTCTCTTATGATTCTCTCATACGTGCATGTTCTTTGTCGGCAAGCTCATGTGGTAAAAAAAATATAATTTGCGTAAATTAGAACTGACATAAATCATTATTTTCCTGGCACGGAACGGAGGACTGGGTTCTAGTGTAGCGCGCGAGGGATTGCGGTTAGGGAGTTTGATATAGTGACCGTTTAGTTATGCGTGCCCATTCTACGGTCGGCCTCGCCGCGTCAACTTTGTTTAGTTTAGTTTTCACTTATTCTGTTAGCCTTAATTTCGTTGCCATCTGTACTGGTCCCTATGTTTCTTAGCTATTTTGTGTAGCATCTCGTTTTCTGCTCGTATTCATGTTGTTAAGCTTTATTTTATTTGTTTTGCCTTATAACCCCAAAGGCGACGCCATAGCATAGATTGGGGTTACACGGTCCCTATTTTTCCAATAGTTGTTTTTTTTCGGGTTTACGTGTCCAGCTGGGGCGTGACCTTAGAATTACTATAACAGTGGAGTTTTTCAAGTGAGTTAATAGAGTGTATCTTGGGCCTGGCTGACCGACGCGTCCATGCCTCCAGGTGTTGCTTTTTGTGTTCGGTTCTGTAGTGGAGGCAAAATAGCACTTTTCTAGGTATAATCATCCTTATATTCTTCGCACATCCTCTAAGTCATTATGGAGAGACTGACAGGCTACTATGTGACATTGAAATATCAGGCAGAACCTAGAACTAGTGCCTGAAATTTAACATAACTATAACAAACTTCTTAAATCTGATTGGCTATCAACTGCCCTAATTTCAGCCGTTAGTTAGGACAGTACACGTCATGCCTAAGTAATTGGACAGCAGCCCCCGCTTATCTAAATAGCTGCCTCGATTTTCTTATCTCAATTTCTCTCGTGACTGACCTTTTTTATTATAAATATGGTACTTTTTCACTTCAACTATTCATAATAAATCTTAAGCCGTCGACACACCACCTGCCTCGATTAGCCTTGCTATTTGCAGGTGGTGTGATATTTGTATATTTAATGTAAGAAATAAAGATGTTGTTGTTGTTGTTGTAAGCATCACGCGCTTAAATAACTTTTTTGTTTTCACTGCTAGCAAAAAAAATCTCTGAATTTCTTGTGTTTTGATTTTAAAAAAAGGAGCCTAATATATCACAAATTTTGTTATAGTTATGATTAATTGGTAACAGAACTTCGTGTCGTCCAATTCGGTCTGTATAAATCATACTCGTGATTAAACAAATCGGACTCCCGCTGCGCGGTCGTCGGATTTTGTTAATTACTCGTATGATTACAGACCGAATTGGACTCCACTCAGTCCTGTTACTATTACTAGTTATAATTTATTTCACTGTGAACACAACTCAGTAAAACTTAACATTAAGAAAGGTTTCGGAAAGTACTAAAGGTTCTCAACGTTAAAATTCTCAAGGTCATGAGAAGACATCACAAAAGGCTTTTACCCTCCAACCGTGAACCAAGTCTCCCACCCACTCTGTTTAATCGCTTTCAACAAACAATTAGTTCCCATTTATCTTTCATTAACACCTACGCTGTTTCTGAATGCTATATGTCCGTGATAACCATTGTTTATTCCGAAGCACTAAGTACAATCAATAAGCTCTTGCTGTTATTTACTACTTGAGCGGCTAGTAGGGTATAGAACCCCAGTTCCGTTAAGCTCCCTCAAAGAGATGTAAATTCTACCATACCTGTCATTGAAACAGACAAGATCAGAAGTTGCGACTGTTGACAGTATGGCGGCTTATGAATTGACGAATATTTGATTTTATTGCATTCGAGAAGAATAATCATTCAGCTGATCATTCGTAATAGTACAAGACAAGTAAAATCAAAGAGAAAAGAATCGTTGAGATTTTTTTGGCGTCCAAATGTAATAAGAAAAGGGGTTAAAATTCATATTGTTTTGACAGATGTAATCGTTTTAAAGAAGAGACTTATGTCATGCGTAAAATATCTAAAATTAGTTTGACGTTGTCTATTATCTATGCAGAATAATCTGAGATCCTTTCGAGTCTGACACGCAATATTTTAGTCTCAAAGTCTGCAGGCCGGTGAAAAAGTAACTAAGTTAAGGAAAAATGTTAGCCCATGTGGTTGAAGTACTACCAAGTCTTCCTTTCTGGTTAAGCGTGTTAATAATCACTTTGTGGCTTATTTATTGGATGGGCGTTTCGAGCTATTCTCTAATAAGTCATGTTGCTCTACCAGGGCCTAAACCTTGGCCTTACGTTGGCAACCTCTTAGATGCCTTTAAGTATGGCGGCTTGCACAATACCTTTCTGGAGTACGACAAAAAATACGGCAAGGTTTACAAGATGTACCTTGGAAGAGATCCTATAATAGTAGTAACAGATCTAGAAATGCTTAAAAGGATTCTTGTCAAGGATTTTGATAAATTCAGAAACAGGCCAGAGTTTATAGCCGGTAATCCACCCCTCAACAAAGGTTTGTTTGGTGCCAGAGATGATGCTTGGAAGCGTGCTCGTTCAATTTTAAACCCTACATTTAGTGCCTCCAAATTAAAGGAGATAGTTCCCATTATCGAGGAAGCAGTGGAAGTTCTCGTGTCAAAAATGAAAACATTTGCTCATGAAGGTAGGGAAAGATGCTGTTTAAAGGGTGTGTATGCCACAAAGGGATATTGCTGTTTTAGGTTAATTCCGCTGTGCTCAATTAAGTTATTTTTTTGTGCCTCTAACCGTACACAACATATTCCTATGGAGTTATGAAGACAATATCAACAAATTTCATCGGAGAGCACTATCCATAATAATTTTTTGGTCTTTCCCTTTCGGGCATAGCATTAAGACGTACAATTATTGAGTCAATATTTTCAAGTTTCAATATTTGTTCATCTTTGCCATCTGTCAGACGATAGAAAGTTTTAAAACTTGGCAGTTACTTTTGGAATTCAATTAAAGGGAAGACATGCTTTGACAGCTTTTTAAAAGGATAACAAATTACGGTGTGACATAACCCCTTACGTCATCCGGAAATGGAACTTAACGAATTTTTAAGAACAGCAGGACAAAAGCCGCGTTTATAGACGGCACACTGAGTCCGACGGTAAAACTTAGACTAATTCCAGTATAATTCCCTTTTCAGAACTACATAACCATGATAACATAAAGCTTTAATAGAAAGAAATGAAACATTTCAAGTTCCGGATACATCATCACTTTTTTCTGATTAATGAAATGATGATGGATACTGAATGTATCCGAAACATGTCGTGGAAGCTTAAACGTTGTGAGAGTTTTTTTTTAAAAAAAAAATGGTTATTTTTCTGTGATACATACTATTAGACTTGTTGCGTTGTTTGCCATATTTTTGTACTTGGCAGTCACGTGGTACACAACCCCATGCTAGCCCCCCGGGGGGGGGGGTACTTTAGGAATTTCTGGGTGAGGGTGTGCCGCTGGGACCCTGTGACCCTTAACCTTTACCAGAGCTAGTTCAGCTGAATTTTGCCACCCTATACTAGAGTAAACTCCCCAAATCCCCCCTATCCTAGAGTAGCTGTTTTCCAGAAACTACTGAGGTCACTAGCACAGTCTAGCCAAAACAAAACCTTATACCACAATCCCTAGTCTACATAAATCTTCAACCAACTGATCAGTTTCCTGAAAAATGATCTCGGCCTTATTCTAGACTCAAACGCTCTGATTTATATACCCTATCCTAGAGTAAACTGCTTGAAAACCATACTCTTCACAGCGGCACATAACTACATAGCCCATATATGGCAGACCCCCTCCCCCCCCGGGGGGGTGCTAGCCAAGCAATGCATCGGGTCAGGACAATTCACGAAACGTAAACTATTTGTTTGTTTTGTCCTGGCGGTGGGAAGTAACTTAGTATTTTTCTTATAGAAGCTCTATTTGCAGTTAATGATGGTTAAAAAAATGAAAGGTTTGAACTCAGGACTCATTTCATAAGTAGGTGGAATCAGAGGGGGCCCACACAATTAGCCTATTGTTATTTTGTAGTAAATGTGCTGGACTTACCTTACCTTACCTTACCTTACCTTATATATCGCTTAGTATGTATATATATCACCGTTAAATAAACGTTGAATTACTTTACCTGTGGTATACTGTCGAAAATCCATCCAAAAAACGTAAATCCCACAGTTTTTGAACGATCAAANGGGGGGGGGGTACTTTAGGAATTTCTGGGTGAGGGTGTGCCGCTGGGACCCTGTGACCCTTAACCTTTACCAGAGCTAGTTCAGCTGAATTTTGCCACCCTATACTAGAGTAAACTCCCCAAATCCCCCCTATCCTAGAGTAGCTGTTTTCCAGAAACTACTGAGGTCACTAGCACAGTCTAGCCAAAACAAAACCTTATACCACAATCCCTAGTCTAAATAAAATCTGCAACCAACTGATCAGTTTCCTGAAAAATGATCTCGGCCTTATTCTAGACTCAAACGCTCTGATTTATATACCCTATCCTAGAGTAAACTGCTTGAAAACCATACCCTTCACAGCGGCACATAACTACATAGCCCATATATGGCAGACCCCCTCCCCCCCCGGGGGGGTGCTAGCCAAGCAATGCATCGGGTCAGGACAATTCACGAAACGTAAACTATTTGTTTGTTTTGTCCTGGCGGTGGGAAGTAACTTAGTATTTTTCTTATAGAAGCTCTATTTGCAGTTAATGATGGTTAAAAAAATGAAAGGTTTGAACTCAGGACTCATTTCATAAGTAGGTGGAATCAGAGGGGGCCCACACAATTAGCCTATTGTTATTTTGTAGTAAATGTGCTGGACTTACCTTACCTTACCTTACCTTACCTTATATATCGCTTAGTATGTATATATATCACCGTTAAATAAACGTTGAATTACTTTACCTGTGGTATACTGTCGAAAATCCATCCAAAAAACGTAAATCCCACAGTTTTTGAACGATCAAAATGCGTAGCAAGATTCATACGTGCCAGCCAGAAACCATCCCGCTGATTGTCTCTTTTTGATTGGATGTCGTTAAACAGTAAACGCTTACCAAGTCTTCTTTAAACCAGTCATTATTGAACCATCTGTTTAACGACATTCAAAAAGAGGCAATCAGTGGGATGGTTTCTGGCTGGCACGTATGAATCTTGCTACGCATTTTGACCGTTCAAAACTGTGGGATTTTACTTTTCTTCGATGGCTTGCTCCAGACCTTTTGGATGGATTTTCGATCGGAAGGTACGAGGAGAAGCGTGAATCTTTCGACCTTTTTGCTGCGAAGTTTGAAAGTGAGCGATGCGATTTTCCGGGGGAAAATCGCTCCTGCGCTGGAGCCCTTCAAAACAACGATTCCTCTCTTGTCCTTCTATTATTTAATAGAAACACCGAAACGGCTAACTCAGAATCCTTCAAAATCACTCAAAAGAGCGCTTTTGAGGCAAAAGGACGACTATATAGCACAGGTAAGGAAATTCAACGTATATTTAATCTTGATTTATAGACATACTTAGCGATATATCGCCATAGGTGAAGCAAACGATAAATCCGGTACATTAACTATAAAATAACAATCGGTTACATCACACACTTTGAGTGGGCGCCCTGTGGTGGAATATGATCGTCCGGCCGGCGGGTGAGAGCTGTCCTGTGACTGACGGTAGTCATCAGCTGCTAGTAAACCAGCTTTACTAACTAGTAAGAAAAAAGCCACTAAATTGTAGTCAGCAGTTACCGGTACCTTACAGACGACTTATGGACGGACTCAAGCAAAACTCAGACAACGATGGGATGACTGGATAATCGACAGTTAGACAAACAATAAACGACTAGAGTTTAATACAGTCAAACTTCCCTTTACGAACACCTCATTAAGACGGACAGTTTGCCTTGTTCCAGGGGAAAGAAAGCCTTTGCCCTAAATTCAACCCGGACACTGAGGGGGCCTTAGAAAGTGTTTAACTGTACGGCATCAACTGTTGTGATACGACTCACTTTGACTCTGTAAAGTTGGTTGTCGAAACGCATTCACTGTAACAACAGTTCTATTCAGGACTTCACTCACTCGGACGATTATGCTCAACCTCCTTATTTACTGCCATGGTTAAGCAGCAAACTCTATTTTCCAACATTAGTAACAGAGAGCGGATTAGAGAGATTTAGAGCCACGTTTACGACAAATTGGCAAAGGTCTATTTGTACCACGTGACCAAGTTTCCCCTAATTTTTGCCTACAGTTAAATACTTCTAACCAAAAATTCATTAGTTTCACGTTATTTTTGTCTATAGCAATTGCTTTGGACTGTTTTTAGCTGCGCTTTTTCTATTTTCAGAAATTCCCAACTTGAATCTGACGTTTGCCGTTTGTCCTAACCGTGATTCTGAGTAATCTAATTCTTTCTTTTCTAATTCGCTCTTTTAAGAGTAACGTTTACGGCAAACGTGAACCTAATTTTCCATTTACTTGTCCATCACATCTTCAGAAATGTAATCGCTTTCACTCTAGCCTTATCCATAAGGATTGTTTTGGACTGTTTTTATCTGCTCATTTGCGTGATTGANAGGGGGCCTTAGAAAGTGTTTAACTGTACGGCATCAACTGTTGTGATACGACTCACTTTGACTCTGTAAAGTTGGTTGTCGAAACGCATTCACTGTAACAACAGTTCTATTCAGGACTTCACTCACTCGGACGATTATGCTCAACCTCCTTATTTACTGCCATGGTTAAGCAGCAAACTCTGTTTTCCAACATTAGTAACAGAGAGCGGATTAGAGAGATTTAGAGCCACGTTTACGACAAATTGGCAAAGGTCTATTTGTACCACGTGACCAAGTTTCCCCTAATTTTTGCCTACAGTTAAATACTTCTAACCAAAAATTCATTAGTTTCACGTTATTTTTGTCTATAGCAATTGCTTTGGACTGTTTTTAGCTGCGCTTTTTCTATTTTCAGAAATTCCCAACTTGAATCTGACGTTTGCCGTTTGTCCTAACCGTGATTCTGAGTAATCTAATTCTTTCTTTTCTAATTCGCTCTTTTAAGAGTAACGTTTACGGCAAACGTGAACCTAATTTTCCATTTACTTGTCCATCACATCTTCAGAAATGTAATCGCTTTCACTCTAGCCTTATCCATAAGGATTGTTTTGGACTGTTTTTATCTGCTCATTTGCGTGATTGAGAAATTCTCAACTTGAACCTGACCGGTTTGCTGTTTGCCCGTGATTCTGAGTCCCTCTAAGATGTCTCAGTCATAACTAAGGGCAAGTACAATCAAGAAATGAATTATATTTCTTTCATCCTATTCCAGAAAAGAGTGTGGAAGTTACCAAGCCTTTTGGTGAATTCAGTTTAGATTGTATTCTCTCTGCTGGCTTTGGTCTCAAAACAGATATGCAAACCAACCCAGATCCGGTACTGGTGGAGAAGGCTTTAACTGTGTTTTACGTACCAGTCTACATACGGGCACTGACCATGTTTCCGTTCTTTCGCCTGGTGAGGAAGATCTTCCAGTTAAATCCTATTCAACATGTTCCCTTTTTCGCGAACTTAGCAAAAGAGGTTATTGATCTTAGACGAAGTGGTTCCTGTAGTCGCAGGGATCTGGTCCAGCTCATGTTAGAAACAGACGAGGTCACAGGAAAAAAGATCACTCCATTAACAGATGAAGAAATCATCGGTCAGTGCATCGTGTTCTTTGTTGCGGGTTCAGAGACAACTGGCGCCACACTGGCATTTGTTGCCTACTACCTCGCCCATCATACAGACGTACAAGAGAAGCTACTTAAAGAAATCGATAATGCTGTAAAATCGCGAGATGGTGCAGTGTCCACATATGAGTTTGTTCAGAGTCTAGAATATCTTGAACGAGTTCTGTCTGAAGTTCTTCGACTGGCTACAGTTGGCTATGTTAATGTACGTGAGTGCATGAAGACTTGTGTCATTGAAGGCGTGGAGTTTCCTGCAGGAGTTAGCCTTTACATACCAGCCCATGTCATTCATCGCAATCCCGAGTACTGGCCCGAGGTAATTAAACAATACTAGTAATAATCTATGTTTACCAAGTTCGTTCTGCTGAACTAGATCCCAGACTTTCTTTCCTCTGGCAAGTTGGCGAAGAGGTCTTCCGCCCCTGCAAAAGTTCCGGGGATGCCGGATGCCCTTACTGAGATCTGACGTACCCCGGTTTGACAGTGTCCCACACAATATCACTCTGATCAGAGTAGCCCACTTTAGATATATTAAAGTTCTCACATAACTCCAAGACTTTCTGGTCATATTTCTATATCTGGTTTAGTTTTCTTTGTGCCCAGGTCTCTTCTGGGAATTGCGAAATAACGGAGTTGTGACGAATTTGCAATTTTGACCCTAAAGCCTCGGAGTCATGGTAGAATTTTGATATATTGAACGTAAGCTATTAGGAGTGCTGACTTCTGGGTAAAACGCTTTTAGATTAAATCAGACGTAATGAGATGTGAAAAACGAAAAGAAGGTAAGATGAGAGAGGATCGGATAAGATAAATAAATAGTGCAAATGGCTTCAGCGTTCTGTTGGTCGGTTTGTATGAGTAGTCTAACTTCTCCGTCGCGCTGCCTCGTTCATGAAGGAAAGGATATGCAGTATAAACTAAAACAAATATAAAACAAACTCTTTTATTTCTTGCAGCCAGAGAAGTTCGATCCAGACCGCTTTCATCCAGAAGAGGTGAAGAAGCGCCCAGCTTTCTCATATTTGCCTTTTGGACTGGGACCTAAACAGTGCATTGGAATGAGAATGGCTGAATTGGAGCTTAAAATCGCCCTGGTGGAAATTCTGCAGAAAATAAAGTTTGAGAAGAGAGTAGATACCACTGAAAAATTGGAATTCCGTGCAGCAACCATCTTGCAGCCACGCGATGGCGTTTATGTCAAAGTTGTGGCACGATCACAAAACAAAAACATTGACACTTAATCAAAGTTGTTAGCTTAAATGTAATACCTTGTTCACGATACCCGCCTCTTTGCACGCGAGCTAGGATTGATGGGATAAACGCAATGTCACGTGGTATTTCACGGGGCAAAAAAATGATCAAATATTGCCAAGTAATTGCGGTCGAATTTGTGTACACTCTCAGAACAAGAGACGACGATTTGAGCAGTCCAACAGTCCATCAGTCCATGCTGGGCGAATGCAACGATGGTGTGTATCATGAATAAGGTCTATTCGATTCAATGTGAAATGTGGACGCACCAATTTGTAGTAATATACTTATTTTATTTTTATTTTTTTTTATTAGCTTCGCCAAAAAAACAAACAAACAAACAAACAAACAAAGAGACAAGATAGATAGATAGCTTTATTAAAAATCCATTGCAGCCCAAGGGCTGGATTACGGACTGTACAATACGTTGAATACTAAGACTAACTATTATAAATAAATATCAGTAAATAAATAAAACAAAGGAACAAAATACAACGTCATGAAATTTAAGAAAATAGCCGCGAATTTACAATAAAACCATTAGAAAATAGCCGCGTTATGCATGATAAAACTATTCATTAGTCTATTTGTTCTACAAAGAGG